GGTTACCAGTCTGGAGGATCCTTCTGGCGTGTCTTGGAGGTTCTTACGAGCCAATCTTCGCATTAAGAGCCGTCCGTACTAGTTAAAGGAGAATCAAGTAAGCACTGATATATACTATGACAATATACTTGCGTGATAGAATGGTCTAATCGATTCTACCGCCATGGGATTATTAGTCATTCCTTGCAGTATATATTAGTGTAACCGGATTCGGATATCTTGAAGTCACTGCTACTAAGCAATTTGTCTTATAACGCCGAGCAATTCGATGTTATAAGTATATATATATATAGGCGTATACTATACTATATGCTTATGTACATGTTATATTATGGCATTATATATAAACAATCGTATAACGCAACAGAGCGATGATTACTACTCGTTTTTGATCCAGCTCCATCACAATGGACGCCATGTCGGATCTGGGCATGTCTGATGTCTGTGTGGTGATCGAATGCTAGCCTTGTCAGTGGAGATGCTTCCTGCGTGAGCTTGCGATTAGGCTCAGCAGCCGCCATTTCGATCATCTGCCCACAGCAAGCGCTGCTTTTTTGGATCTAAACAGCACGAATGCTGACCGGCGCGGCGTGAAGTTGCTGCGGCTACAGAGCAGGAGTGGCGACAGATAAGAAGCCGTCTACGGACGATTTCCTCAATAGCCACGGCTATACGGTAGAAAATTAGAGCGAGAAACGAGCATAAGCGCGTACGGGGGGCCTACCACATACAACCCCCAACACACGCCACGCGCGCGGCACCCGACGACACACACACACACACACAACACACACACCACACACACACAACACATACAAATGCAATTGTATGCCACCACACACACACACACACAACACACACACACACACACACACGACACCAAATGCAAATGATGCACACACACACACACACACATGACAACAGCACCATCAGCACGACACACACACACAACAACACACACCGCAACAGCACACACAACACACACAGTACGCACACACACAACCAACACCAGACACACACAACCACGCATCGCACACACACACAGCAACACACACACACACACACACCGACACACGCACAGCACACGCACGCCGCGGCACACACACACACACACACATACGCACAACACGCACACACCCGCCACGCAAGCACGCACGGCACGCGCACACACACAGACACACACAGCACAAATGTCAATAGACAGAGGGCACTCAAAGAGGAGTGCATACCTCCCGATGCTGGCGGCGGGCTAACATGTATACATGTGTATGAATGCGAGCTGGCTCGGTGCTGGCTGCTGCTGGACTGCACGCCCTTAGGGCGAGGCTGCTGCTGAACTGGGACGCCCTAGAGGCGAGCTGGTGCTTGAATCGATCTGCGCCAACGCGTGTAACATGTATACAGTTATTAACAGCTGCGCTCGCTGCTTGGCTACATCCACCACACATCGGAACACACAACGAAACACACACACTGACCACACACGACGAACACACACGACGGAAGCACACACGCACGAACACACACACCACGAACACACACACGACGAAACACACACACGAACACACACACGTAACACACACAGACGACCACACCACCACGAACACACCACACACGAACAGCGATCCACATTTACCTCTCCGCTGCAACTCCGTTCGCGCGGATCGGTACATGATGGCGCACACCACACAACAGCCACCGCCTACGGGCATCACACACACACACACACACACACAGACACACACACACACGGCACGCACGACGCACACGCCACACGCAACACGCACACGCACACGCAACGCACACACACAACAAGCGCCACAGTACCGCCACACACGCACACACGCACACACGCACGCACGCACGCACGCACGCACGCACGCACACAGCACACACACACACACACATTTAGGACAATACCGCGGCCACCACCACGACCACCCACCACCCAGCAGCAGCAGCAGCAGCCAGCAGCGAGCAGTAACGATAACAACGCCAGCAGCAGCCAGCAACGAGTAGCATCAGCCAGCATTCAGTAGCCAGCAAAGAAGTCAACAGTAGCGCATTCAGCTGCATCAGCATCAGCTAAGCATCATCATCATCATTCATATCATTCATCCATTTCATCATCAGCAGCCACGCCATGCAGCCAGCGCAGCAGACACAGCACAAATTCACAGCAGCAGGCTAGAAACACGTCAAGGCAGCAGCAGGCCGCACCCCGCAGTAGCACACATGACAACCTATTTATCTTTCCAAAACGCAGTTATTCGATTTCAAAATCGAAATGCATCATTAAAGCATTCATTCTGTTGTTTGGTAATCGTGCAACGTGCTTAGTATTTAGCCATCACTGCTACAAGGCGGATGTGTTGCGAGAGCTGGAACTACGCGAGGAAAGCCATGGTAGATCGAAACCCGCCGAACATGATGAGCACACTGCAGGCAATGGGTGCCGTCAAAGATGCATTCTAAACAGAGAAAGAAGAAGCCTGCGTATGTCAGTGGACGACGCCCTAATAATACGATCACTTCACCACTGACCCCAATCACTAGGCTGTGTTACTTACTGAATCACTCGCTCGAAGGGTGTGTAAGACCTTGGAGTAATCATTTCTGACCAAAATGATTACTCCAAGCGTAAGCACTAATAGTGTGCATATAGCTTGCTGAATAAGGCTCTCACCTCGTTGCACTTGCAGACATTAATATAATACTATAATATCCAGTTTTCCTAGGTGGGAGTTTTTATACGCCTCATGCGTGCTTTACCAACTCCCAGCGAAACAATAAAGCACACATTGGCGTGTATTTCAATGATCGAAGAATTCCTCAACGTGGTTGGCTTCCATAGGGACAAAATCCACGTTCACCAGGAGGAAGCGACCAAGAACTGTGTAGTGTTGCAGATGGACAAAATGCGGCAGGGTTAACGAGATTGGCTAAACTTATGTATCACAGGTAGGGATTTCGCACAATTAAAGCCATTATTTGATCTAGGCACGATTCCAAGGGTCGAGAATTTGCGGGACCAACTGCAGTTATTGATTGGATGCATGTTCTAAAGAAAGTTAGAAAATACAATAACTGTTGACATTTGTTTTTGCTTTTCGTGCGAAATATGAATGCGATCATTTTCATTTCTTCGGCCAAAAGGCCTGTACTGGTGTAATAATAATCTACAGCTACTTTACAACCTATACGCACACCGATCGTGGCATTTCGGTGACTACCTATTTGCGTGCAGATGAGAACATCAGTCAAACATGGCGTCTATCGTCAATATGTCTACAGCGTTTCATCGCGCCATCATCTACTAGTGTAACTTACCCGAGTTCGATCTTAGCATCCCGATGATATGTTTCAGACGAGAATTCCTGACGCTGATCTGATCTTCTTCTTCACGCACGATGAACTCGGAGAGCTGCTTGCGAACACGCCTCCGCGAAACTCGTCGCAAGTCGCAGCGCCGCCGCAAGATGTTCCCCGCGTTAAGAGCAATAAAATTCCCCGAATTTAGCTTCGGCTATCCAACGCCAATCCAAGACATCGCAGAAGAAGAGACGCACGATAATGTATCGTACAGGTTGCAAGGTAGTGATTGCGCTAATTTATAATTATGTATATATATATATATATATATATATTATATCAAGAGCGTATAAAGAAATTATACCTTCTTTATACGCTCTTGATTATATATATCTCTCTCTCTCTCTCTCTCTCTCTCTTTCTCTCTCTCTCTCTCTCTCTCTCTCTCTCTCTCTCTCTATATATATATATATATATATATATATATTGTGTATCATCAGATTATATAAGCAGATACGGACTCCCTTCGTTTAACAAGGCCAAGAAACCCTGCCGGGAAGCTTGGTGGTCATTTCCGCCTGTAATAACACGCTTAGAATAATTTTTAGTTATAATAATAAAAGAATCACGCCGTGTCATGTGATTTAGGGATGCCGGTGAGTCACGGAGTCGTGCGCAGTAGGTGTAGGATTGTGGCTACGGTCGCCGATGCGCACGCCATTCAGGCTGGAGACATCCTTATCACCGACGTTACAGATGTAGGCTGGTCCCCCTACTATGGTCTCATCGGGGGACTGGTTACCGAGAAAGGTGGTCTCCTGTCGCACGGTAAATACCAACTAAACTTGTGGTCTCTACCAAATTTCATCGTATAGGTGATTCAATCGCACCGCCGTATACGTGCAAAACATGTGCGTATATCTGCGAAATGGTATGGATCATACTCGTTGATCTGTGTTTAAATACTGCTGCGAATCCGTAGTTTAAAAACACCTCGTCTACATGTGGTTCATTTAGTTGATGGTGTATTTCAGGAGCCGTAGTAGCGAGGGAGTACGGCTTGCCATGCATCGTCAGTGCCAAGAATGCGATGACAATATTTAAAAATGGTAAGCATATAGCTGATACATTACATGTCGCCTATATTAACCGATTTTGGTTTGCATTTGGAAAGTAAATGTTTGTCAACACTCGCCGATAATTATTCTAGATTTACAACGTCTCAGTTAACTAACGTTCTTTCATGTCCGCTTCTATCTTCTAGGAGACGAAGCCATTCTTAACGGAACGACTGGCTTTATAGAAAAGGCGAATAAAGAGGAACCTGAACCAGAACAGGTATAGCAGTATAGCACTCTTGCAATACAATAGCAAATTTACATTAATTACTGAATGTTAGAAAACAAAACGCATTTAAAATTTATAAGCGAAACTAGTTATATATAAAACTAGAGCACTCGGAGAGCACAGACCTCCGCCAAGGCAGCTGAATTCTCTCAATGTGAAATTTTTAATTAATTAATTAATTAATTAATTAAATAATTAATTGGATCCGGATTAGTGCGAGCGTGCAGGTGGGGGAGGACTGTGGTTGCCCCTTATCCCGTGGTTGCGTGTGTGCCTGCGTGATGGATGTGCGTAGGAGTGCCTAGTAAACATATCCTAT